AACTATCTGAATCAAGTAAAGTATAGAAAATCTTTCTCTGCACCTGCAAAAGATGTTAATATTGACAAAAGTTGCTCGAGAACTTCATACAACTCTGGTTCCATATTTTTATCAACAAAGTTTTACCAGTTCAATGGTTTGGTTCTTTTTAAAGTTTTGGCAAAAGCACTCTATCCAAATTTGTGATGTCATGTGCCTTCTCACTCCCTGAGGCGATGCAGGGGAGCAAAGCAGTTCCCTGGAGCCAGCAGAGCCCGCACCAGCCCCCAGCCCCGCCTCACCTTGCCTCGCCTCACCTTGCCTCGCCTCACCTCGGGGAGGAGCCGCTGCCTGCCCTGCATGAGGAGAGAGGAGCTTACCTTCAGTAAGTGTTCCACGCTGACCCCGGTGCCTCCACCACACTCCGTACCCAGCTCCTCTTTGGGCAGGTGAGCGGCCTTAAAAAGTTTGTGCACAGCAGGATTTTTACTTGTGCGCGGCCATGCATGCAAGCAGCTTAGAAGGAACACTGCAACCACCACAATGTCTCTTCCTTCAGCTCCCCAGCTGACCCTCATCCTGCGTGGTGGTGGCTGTGGCTGTGATTTCCTCCACTGCACTCTCCTCCAGTGCTGCCAGGGCCTTGTATCTGTTCCCCAGTTGCACTGGGGAAGCCGGTTCAGAAGCGCAATATCTGACTCTGGAGGTGGCCATCTTCCATTCCTCTGCATCGGGTCCCTCCTGTGTAGGCTTTTCACTAGATGACTGATCCTGCAGAGAATGAAAGTACCCATCAATCTCATCCTCTGCAGCCTTAATCCCCTGGAGCCTCCTAACTTCTGCCTGGAGTTCCCTCACCTGCCCCTCTAGGGCCTCAAGCAGGGCACATTTGGGACAGGTGAGGGGACCTCCCCCATCACCCCCAGGACCCAGAGGCCTGCCAGATAACCCCTGCAGACAAGGGGCAGGGTGCCAGCGACCCATCCAAGGGCCCTGTTTGGGTGGAGGCTTCAGTGGAGCCCCAAGCCAGAGGTGTCACCGGGGCAGCATCCCTGGCTGCATGCCGCATTGTAACCCCCATTGAAAGACTCCTTCCCTTTTACTCACCTGAGGTCTCTGTCCGAAGCTGCAGCCTCTTGGAGTTCAGGTCCCTCCTATACACCCTCCTGCTTGAACTCCTGTACAAACTCCAGCGCACCCCTGAAGAGCGTGCCTGTTTGCCCGGCCTGTTTCCACAGCTCCCATCTGGCTCAGCTATATGGGGACAAGAAAGTGGAAAAAAAAACCTTCCCAATCCCCTACAGCTGGCTCCTC